GGGTGAAGGGGGGGGGGGTGGAAAAGGGGTGAGAGAGAAAAAATACACAACACACATTAAATCAAAGCAGGGGGATTCATAACCATTCGAAGAAGAAGAGGAAGAAGAGGAAGAAGAGGAAGAAGAGGAAGAAGAGGAAGAAGAGGAAGAAGAGGAAGAAGAGGAGGAGGAGGAGGAGGAGGAGGAGATTGGATTTATACCCCCCGCCCTTCACTTGGGAGTCTCAGAGCGGCTTACAAACTCCTTTCCCTTCCCCTCCCCACAACAGACACCCTGTGAGGAGGGTGGGGCTGAGAGAACTCTGACACAAACTGCTCTTTTTCAAGGACAGCTGTGCCAGAGCTTGTGACTGACCCAAGGTCACATCAGCAGGTGCAAGTGGAGGAGTGGGGAATCAAACCCGGTTCTCCCAGATCAGAGTCCGCACACTTAACCACTACACCAAACTGGCTTAGAATGAAAATGATATTATAGCTAAGGAAGAAATTCTCATTTCTAGATTGTTAGCTGTTACCTTATGAGATAAAGAAAATCTATGCAACTCCGCAGTATTATCTTTGTTTGCCATAACCAACTTCCTCACAGAAAGTAATACTGAAGACCAATTCATTAATTTTTTTAAAAAGTAATTTGGCTTTAACTGAAAGATGCTACAGAAGAGTAGAGCTGACTCTACAGAGATAAACATGAAAAGGGCAGAGTGGTGGGTGATGGGGAAATCAATGCCAAGGGAGAAAAAGTGCAGCATTGTGTACGACAAGAACTTAGGCAGAGGGGAAGACTAATAAAGCCCCATATACACTGAGGGCAACTGTGCTACAAATATCACTGTCACAGGAAGATCCGTGGACTAATATCCGTCAGGGCTCTCACACCTGAAGTTATAGCCACTGAGCTCTGCTTGCAGGCCCACAGATTCTTTTTTTCCCTCCCACAACCATCAGTGAGTGCTTTAAGAACTGGTTCTCCTTTTACCTGTTTTGCTGCCTTCCCATCTTCTTCACTCTCCGAGGAACTGTCAGTCGCTGAACTCTCTGATGCCTTCTGAAGAGAAGCAGTTGCCAAATTCCCTAGCTTTGTTGTGCTTTTCCCTGCTGACTGCACACTGCCTGCTTTGCCTGTTGTCGCACCTGTAGCCTTTGCAGCCAGAGCTTTTCCAGGAGTGAGTAAGGGTTTCTGTGTCACTGGAATTGGTTTCTAGGAACAGAAGATGATATTATTATTATTAGATTGTGACAAGAATAGAGGCTGCAGTGCATACAGATTCCTGATTCAAGGGAATGAATCCAGCAGCACAAAAGCACGCAAGCTTGCCTACTCACTACCACCTACAAGAAATTCCCGCAGCTTGCTAGGTCCTGTTAATCATCCTGGAAATTGGACAGTGGTAGCATTCTACATGCCCTGACCTGGATGGCCCAAGGTAGCCTGATGTCATCAGATCTCGGAAGCTAAGCTGAGTCAGCCTTGGTTAGTATTTGGATGAGAGACCACCTATAAAGTCCCGGGTCATGACACAGAGGCAGGCAATGGCAAGACACCTCTAATGGTCCCTTGTCTCGAAAACACTATGTGGTCACCATAAATTGACTGTGACTTGACGGCACTTTCTGCCATCAGCGGCGGATTAGACTCTGAAATGAGGAGATAAGTAGATATAGGGCTGGTCTCTGTGAGACCAACCCCCCCCCCCCCCCCGGTTCACTTCTTTTATGGTATATTATGGAATATGGTATATTCCTTGCCATATTCCAGTCTCAGTGGTCCATCTGTAAAATGTTACCTATCTCAGAATAAACACAATACAAGCATAATAGGAACACATACAGTTAGACTCTCAACTTTGTTTTTCTCTCTCTAAAGAACGCCACCCCCACAAAGAATTTTCTCCAGATTCTATTCCTTTCTGATAATTAAGAAATACATACATAACATCTGTTAGCACCTTGGAAACCAAACAGAGGTGGGGCTAGTGACAAACCTCTGCTTAATTAGAATTTGTTGTGACAGCTGAATGCAGCCAGAACCTCTGCTGGCAAGACTGCAGAATTCAAGACTGACTGGATGAACAGAGAAGTCCAAGTAGGATTTGCAAGAGCTCTTCTGCCATGTTCTTTGCCCAGCCTCATCACTAGCCAAACAGGGAATAAGCAGTGAACTGATATATGCTAGATTCAGCTTGTCTTGGTGCAGAATTTCATTTCAGAGCATGAAGCTCTGCCATCAACAATTTCAGCTGTCCACATATCCCCTCCTTTCTTGACTAGATGCTTTAGACTTGCAAAGATTTAGATCTTCTAAGAAGAAGTAAATTGTCATAGATTTGTGAAATATATTCCAGACATGGGATTTAGGTCTCTTTCCTCAAAGATTCATTTGTGGCACACAATAACTACAGACCCCTCCTTTGCAGTGACAAGAAGAAAATCTCATTCCTCACTTCACATTACAAAAAGAAATTTAAAACCAGCAACATTTAGCCACTGCTTTTGCTTGACAATGAGTCCAGCTGCTTCTTCCAGTTGGCAGGGGAACACCCAAGAGAATACACCTGGGGGGAAATTATCCCAATGCAAAGGGATTTGGGGAGAGGGCAACCCTATGAGTAAACTGGAAATTTACAAAATGCCAGAGTCAGCTACGTGCCTCTCCCAGACAGGTCCATAGACTGGAGTTCTGTGGGTTCTCACGTGTTTTTCATATACCACATCTGGCACGAGAATATAAACCATATATTTAAGAATTGTCAGCTGTGATTTATGAGCTCTGCTGACATTAACAAAAACAATATTAAAAAAAAGATTTTTATCTGGGTGCCAGATTTGACAGCTGTGCAATATAAAAAGCTCTTAATTATCCACTACCAGAAATTGTCTGGGCAACTCCTGTGTTGTTTCTACAACAGATCTCTGTTTTAAGTTTTCCACAAAGTAGCAGCTTTTGAGTCGGGATGCTGCTGCACCAGGAAATGTGTTCAGAAGCAGACTTCTCAACCCTGGAGTCCAAAATGTGGACCAGGAATCAATTCTAGATGAAGCAAGTCCAATTCAGCTGCCTAGAAACACCTCAAGATCATAAGGGACTCTACAAAGCCACAGCAGAAATCTCACTCCACCACCACTCACTATACAATGTACACCCTGTTCCAATCAGCAAAGCAAGTGGATAACCACAAGCCCACCAATCCAGCTAAGGGGCCACATGCACGTCAAGTGAGCTTTCCAGCACAGATGATGAATTGTGTGGGTAATTCAGTTCTGCACATATTCCTATCTCTAGTCCAAAACCCAGAACTACACAACAAGGCCCATTTCAAGAAGGTATAACCTATCAATCGTGTGTGTGTGGTAGGGGGAGGGAGGATAGTGACTGGTTTCAGTTCTTCCTGCTCTGTCCTTCCCTAATGAATAGTCGATCCACAGAATTTTAGTTCTTGGGCTCTCCATGCACAGCATCAGAAGCTCCAAGTGTGTTGTTCTAGCCTTGTACTAGTTCTCCTACAGATTTCCTACTAATTTGCTAAGCGTAGCTCTACAGATGAGAAGGTTCCCCCCCACCCTGTCCCACCAAGATTGTCCCACAATAACCTGAGTGAATACTGTGTCTTCCTCCGAATCAGACTCATCGCTTGAATCCTGGCTACTGTCTTCACTCTGCTGGGCCGCCTTAAGTGGTGCTGGTGGAGGACAGGGTTTCTTGGCACAAGTGAGCTGAGCTGCAGCATTTGATTTGGTCGCTAAAAGAAAGCAGAGGCAAGACAAAGGTCAAAGAAGCTAAAATGGCAGGAAAGAGCCAATGTACTTACGGCTCCTGGCCGTAGCCATTTCTTATTGTCCAAAAAAGGAAAAGGGGGGGGGGGAGAACTTATATCCTAGCAAATGACAATGTGAAGACAGCCTGTGCTCTTTCAAACAACCGTCTTTTAAACATTTGCCTGCAATTCCCTGGTCTGCTCTCAAGTAGTACTTCTGGGTGAAGGAAAGAAGGAATTAGGGGCTTCATAGCTAGGCTTGAACAACTAGAGAAAAAAAAATCTTCCTCTCCAATGTCTGAACAAATGAAGACAGGAGAAATCAGCTAGAATTCAACTTGTAGCAGTGATGTCTAGGCACCATCACAAGTCACTTTCCAAATATGTCACATTATCTTGAGACAAACTGGCATTTAGTATTCTCCTCACTACAAAGCCTACCAAACTGACACGAGGAAGAACTTCCTAGTTCCTAGCATGAAAAGAGATGGATGAAAGAAGATTCCTGCAGTAATTTATAGCACTGGCCTACCCATGAAAGAAAAACACACCTCCCACCAAGCTACACAGTTCAGCACGGCATCATGTTAACTGTACAATTCAGGCACCACAATAAATGACAGACGGGCCTTTAGAAATCCAAATTCCACACTACTTCCAAACTGTATGTCACAGTTCAGGTTGCAATATTTGTCTTTTCCATAAACAGGTGACAGAAGGAAAGACAAACTATGTAGACTGTTGGCCATGGTAAGGAGGCCAAGGACTAAACGAAGGAAGTTATACAGGGCTCAGAAAATCAGGCCCATTAGGAAAAAAGTACAACTGAAGCCCTGCCTGCATGGTTTTTAAGCATTTCTTCCCAAAACACAGTCTCTAGAAACTTACACTATGAAAGATTAAGTTCTTAAGCCATCTCCAAATGCTGTAATATGTTCTGTGCAAGCACATAGCATACATATAGTGTAGCCTTTGCATCAATATTCTAGATGCACTATTACACAATGACCTACATGGGCTTCTCTCATTTTACTTTCAGAAGAACCTTTAAAGAATTATTTTTTTAAGGCTACCCAATGAGTTTCATGGCTGACTGGAGATACGAGTTCACTGTCCTAGACCAAATCTATTCCTCTGCCTTCTACATCACACTGGCACTCACTAAGATTTGAAAATCACAAACCGGCGTACAGTCTTCCCTCCAATGCCTTTTGACTCCTGAACATTCTAAGAACACCCTACGCGTTTCAATTAACATTCTGATCCGCACTGAAGCAAAACATCTCATTTCAGAGGCAATATTCGAAGGATGAATCTTCTGTAGGAATTTCACAGAGAACCGTTTTTTTAAAGAACAACTGGTCCCTCAGGGGTTCTCCTGTATCATTATTACTTAAATTCCAGGAATAGTTTTTGGCTGCTCATGTTATGAAACAGTGAAATGTGTAGGCTGCTTCGCGATCGTTATTAACTCTGCACAGGATTTAGGGTGAAAGCATCAGTGACTCCTCTGATGCTGGTCACTTGTTCCAGCGTCCATTAAAGTGGCAGCGACTTAACTTCCCTCTTCCTTCTGGATTGTGGCTTTCCATTTAATGCTGGATGCTGCTCCACTCTATGACAACGTAAGACAGACAAAAACCTAACCAACGGTAGAAAATAGCCAGTTTGCTTGGGAAAGGGAAATGCATGGATACTAAACCCTTTCTCTTAAGAGGTCTATAAAAATACCACTTAATACCACTGGCAAAATTGTTCATGTGATCAAATACCACCAGCTGTATTCAACTATATACAATGAAGCCTCTTGAAGTGGCAGCTTTTGATCATCCAATGCAAACACCCACATTATACAGGTTGGCAGGCATCCAAGAGTTCTTTTCTCAAAGAATAAGAAAGGAGGGAACAGTGGACTTGAGTGGTAAGTATATTTAACATACAGTCCAGGCAATTCATAGCCTTTAGTTCTGGCTGCTTTTATGAAACTCACAGGAATAACAACGCATTTCATTAGCAGACAATTTAGAGAATGCCAGATAAAAGGTTCCTAGTCTCACTTCATCGTTTAGTGTTCAAGTTCAAATCACCAGAACATTTCCACACACACACACACCCCAAGGAAAACAGGACACAATGAAGAGAAAAGCAACTGTTAAAAAGGGTTAGTATTTATTTAGAGGTAAGCAATGCCAGCATCAAGTATTTTCCTGCTTCTAAGTAAATATATTGGACCAAGTCTGTCAGATGCCTACCAATAAACCAGGGTCTAATATTTATTTATTAAATATTTATATCCTGCCTTTCTTGTGGCTCAAGGCAGCTTACAAAGCACATTTTTTAAAAAAAAATCACAGTAAAAACACACAAAGAATAAATCTCCCAGGTAACCCATCAGGAACCATAGCTCAAAAGTCTCCTTTTTTGATACCAAAGCTTAGGAAGTGCAACAGAAGAAAGAACAAGAGCGTAAGGTTTACAGGACGTTATATCTGACATGACTAGAAAGCAGAATTACAGTATGGAACTGAAAACAGAGGAAATGCTACAGCTGGATATCTGGAGCAAGAAGTCTATCATCAATATATGTAATTTTTGGCCCTGACCTGGATAGCCCAGGCAAGCCTGATTTCATCAGATCTTGGAAGCTAAGCAGGGCTGACCCTGGCAAGTTCTTGGATGGGAGACCTCCGAGGAATACCAGGACTGGGACACAGAGTCAGGCAATAGCAAGCCACCTCTCTGAAATGTTCAAGCTCCACTAGGGGTCGTCAGAAGTCAACCATGACTTCCAGGCACACACACACACACACACACTCACTATGTATCTAAATCTATACATATATGTAATTTTCAACATGGCCCCATCTGTGGATATCTAGTGTAGTGATTAGAGTATCACACTAGGAATTGGGATATCTCTACTCTGTCATGAACAGGTGGAGTCGGGCTCGTCGCTTAGCCTGATCTACCTCACAGTTAATGAGGATAAAATGCAGGAAAGGAGTATGATATAAGCTGCTTTGGGTCCCCTCTGGGAAGAAAGTGGGGTATATTTGATGTAAATACATAATAAATGTAGCTGAAGGTGGGGGACAGATAACAAGAAGGCTAGTGGGCAGGTTAGCAGGAAGCAGTGAGAGGATATGGGGGCTGCCAGAGAAAAGATACAGTATGGGGAAGCGGATATAAGAGGCGGGGTGGAGGGCAAATGATCCCCATGACTCCTTGCGGGTTCTCTGCTTGTACTTATTGAATTAGCTCTGAGGTTTGGCTCTGAGGTCAAATGGAATCAGAAGGAAATCCACGTACTCAGTCTCGCACCCACTATCTTGCTGGGCTAGGAGAGACAAGCCCAATGTCAAGCTTGTGCCTCAGTTGTCAGGGACCCTGTGACCTCAAAGGTTAATTACTTCTCTTTTCTTCTCTAGGCTGTTTATCCTTCTGGCTAAAGGGTTTTTTTATGGGAGTGTGTGTCGGCTTACACAGTGCCTGGGAAGCGCATGATCTCAGCGCCTACTTCGAACTTGGGTGCAGGGAATTTCTAGATAGTGCAACGGCTAGTAGCAGGTGTGGGGGGTGGTGTATTGGAGAAGTTTGGATCTTTGGCAGGCTGAATGCGGATAGTGACTGGGTAGTGCGCTTTAGGGGGGATGTCCTACATAGTGTATAGGTTCTGTCTTGACACCTCGGTGTCAGTTCTGACACAGAACATGTCAACACTTGGAACCTTTTTCACTTCTCAGTAAACAAATCTTGCTGATACAAGAGTGTGGTGGAAGTGACTGCGTCCGAGACCTGACACACAAAGTGGCAGTGCAAGGGAAAAGTTCGTCAGATGACCAATCTGGATAGGAATTATAGTCAAGTTAGTCATAAGGAAGTTCAAATCATCACAAAAGTATGATAGATTCAGGTGAGACAAGGAATGATCTCACCTAGCGATGACCAAAATAGTCCCTAAAGATGATATACCATTTATCAGTTTCCAGGTCTTTCTGCAGATTGCAGGATGGTTCTGAAAAAAATATTGAGTCCCAAATATTCTATCACCAGCCTTCACACAGGCCCAGCTTACCAACGTGTCAATTACTGGTTTCAGAAACCAGACTACTTTTCTTGCTGATGATTCCACAGCCTCCTAGCACACACTGTGAAAGGTGCTATCCTACTACCCTGCTTCTGCCGACCAACACCTCCCCCCTTCATATTAAGCTGCATTATTCCAAGCTGGACCATTGGTCCATCTACCTCAGTAACAACTCAGTTCTTGGATAGCTAATGTTTAAGCCTTGCCCAGCCTTCATAACCCAGAGAGAGTTGCTGGGAACTGAACTGGAGACCATAGGCAACCGGCATACTGTAGCAGCTGTGCAAGCAATGCATATGCACTACTACTGCGTTATGAGCCCTTTATTTCCATCTTCCTCAAATGCAAGGGCATTTAGATCAATCCTTAAACCTCCTACACATAATTCCCCTAAGACTCCCCGAAGCACTACATTTCTTATACCCATGCAGTCTTTTCCTTCCACTTATGGCTCAGTGTGCTGTACTGTTCTTCATTACTGCCGCAAGCAGCAATCTTGAAGAATCTTGAAGTGATCCATCACTTTACAAATATTCCAGACATGAAGCTTCTGAATTTCTCCATCAACTGATTTTCAACCTGAGGCCTACTATTCCATACAGGTTAATAATTCAGAATTCATATTTATTAAAAAGCCCTCTCCCTTTTTCATCTGCAGTAGTAACCTGAAGGGAGAAAGTAAATGCATGCAATCCCCCCCCCCCCCCCGGTGCTCTATCTAGCTCTGCCAGGGGCTGCTTCATATCACAAAGAGGCCCTTCACAGCTGTTTCATTCCATAAGTAAAGGGTGGGGTGTCTAATATTGAGTTCTTCCATTTCACACCAGAGGGAAAGCAGAAAAAGTCCTTGGCTAATTTAACTTTTTCTTATATGAGAATAACCCCAGTGAGTATAATTTAGTTTACTGGCTGGTTTTTGTAACTCCCTAGGACAGCTTATCATTCAGAAACAGACTGGGCTTTGCAATGCAATAAGGAGTTGGCAACAGCCCCCTCTCCCCCCCCCACCACCATTTTTTAAACTGGTTTGGAAGGATATTCGGAAAGAAGATGAGCACAGAATTGAGCAACACTGACGCGTCTGTCCAATCTCGGCCTCAGCATAACTGGCATCCGCTCCCATGTCCTTCAGTACTTCAGAGCACAGTGTGTGTGCCTGCAGGGAGCCTGTTTGTTACTCATGTGCCCTAACTCGATGTTGTTCAACTAAAGAAACAGAGAAACATAGAGGAAAGCTGAAGACAAACGTCCCCTGAACACCAGTGAGAACTGAAGGCATCTTACCAGATGGAGGTGGCAGGTTTTGTGTGGCTGGGACTGTTTCATCCTCGCTGTCAGATGAGTTGCTGCTCTCGCTCTCAGTTGTCTTCCTTTTTGAAGCACCCGATGGAGCTTTCACTGGGGTGCCAGGTTTAGCAGTCAGATTTTGTTTGACTCCAGTGGGAGGCTGAGGCGTTTGCAATCTCTGCACCATGGGGGGTGGGGGTCGGGGGACGACAACGACAAAACAAGAACACAGAACCACAGTGAATTCTTTATTTTCCATGGCTGAGAGGTCTTGCATACATTATCAATCTGCCATTTCCCTACAGAATCAGAAAGGCATATTGCCAGCATTGGAGATAATCCTTAAAATGGATGAAATGCACTTGGCATGAAGAAGCTATTTGTATTACTTAACCTTGGACACAACAGTTTAGGACTGGGACTGAAGGAAAACTTCAGTATGACAGAGTTTCGTGTGAGAAAAAAAAGGGAAGAAGGTTTTCAGAGAGTGGGGTCATGCCAGAAATATCCTAGGGAACAAACATGAATGTGCTCAGGCATACACACATTTCTTTTTAGAGTCCCCTGGTTTATGCTCTGGTTTTCTCTCACTTTAAGTGTTGCTTATTTTATTACATTTCTACAAGAAATTTAGGGTGGTACACATTTTCCTCTGTCACATGACTTCCCCCTCACAACAATACTGATAGGTAGATTAGTTTGAAAGACCGTTCCTTACTCAATGTTATCCAGTCTCATGGCAAGATCCTTTTGTAAGAGTGTTGTGAAACCTTTAAAGCAACGAAACAACAACCACCATCTTATTTCTCACTAGAATAAATGTGAAGGGTGGTGCAGTGTCACACCACATGATGCAACAACTCATTGCCTTTCAGAAATCAGCATTTTTCTCTCACCAAAAGGGAATGTTCCTTTCCTTAAAAAAGAAAAGAAACTCAGTGACTGAATTATGCACAGAAAAAAAAAGTTATAAAATGGGTCTGCCAAGCTGCTTTCTGAAACCCTCAGAAGAACAACACTTGGCTCACGGTTCTCAACAACCACTCACAGTGGGGTATCCACATTCTTGAATTTTGTGCATTCGCTGTGAAGCACTAATTATTTTCATTGGGAAAAAATAGAGAGTTTAAAAAAAACCCAGACCTCTCTCTATCTTCATTCTATCTGTTTTCTTAGACTGAACAGAAAGTATCCCATATATCACAGCCAGCTGGAAAACAGAAGTTGTATCAGTACTGGAAGTTCTCTCTGTTGTGCTTTTAATCAAGCAATACAGGAGATCTTAGAGACTAAGCTAACGATACAATCCAATCTGTTACAACCTACAAGCCACGTAATGGGAATGAATTCCTGATCCTTCTTCTAGTGCTTCTCCTCTTTATACTAGAAGCTCTTGAACACTGATATACAATCCTGAAAGGCAGCCCACAAGTAGCCACATTCTAATCTCATCTTTCATCACAGTCCCCAGCAAAAGCCGGAGTTAAGTTGTCATCATTCCAGGGTGCAGGGAATTCTAAACATGCCATACACCAGCAGAGCATTTACAGCAGATTAAAAACAGCAGTGTACAAGAAGTGTAGAGCATGGGTGTTAATCCAGTTCAATCTAATAAAATCAGTGGCATTCATGGATATTCAGGATCAAAGCTCATGCTACAGACACCCCCATGAAGATGAAACGGAGAACAGGGGAGGGGAAACAGGAGGAGGAAGAGCCTTTAAGATCACCAGCCAAATCTGTACTGTTGCAAAGCCTTTTCTCCTCTTCATCCACAGCAACTAGGTGGAAACCTCAGTGCAAAAAGCCAAGCTAATTCAAGCCCACTAAGCCTCCCTGGCAACAGCTGATTTAGCCTTCTAAGCATTTGCTCATTTCAGTCAGGCATTTTCCCCATTTCCAGTCAAGGATATCTTGTTACTCAGAGAAAGGTAACAAATTCCTCAAAGAAGGCATGAAAGAAAATGTAGCATAGTGCAGTGTCAGACTAGATCTGCCTGGAAAGATGTGGGTTCAAATCTCCACTCAATCATGATTATTCTATGGACCATAGGCTGGGCTAGTCATTCTCTCTACAAGACTCATTTACCTCATAGAATTGATTGAGAGGTTAACACAAAGGGACAACCTTGTACAGTACTCTCAGCACCCTGAAGAAGGGATGGAATACAGTTTGGGGGTAGGAAAGATCTTGTCCACCTTTACTTCAATGTAAATGAGTGACCGGCTAGTTTGCAAAACTTCACTATTCGGGTTTCCTTTACTCCCCCAAAAGATGATGAGCAAACATCAGAAAGCAAGAGTTGACCTGGTCTACACACAAATCAGTGAAAAGTGACAGAGTCCTGGTGTGGTAGAACTGCGTATCTTGAAGTTCTCCATGCGGGACCCCGGCCTGCCTGCACAACTGTACAATGCTGGAAGACAGAGTGTACCTTCCCCTTCCTACAGGCACTGAAAACTCCTGCGCAAAAATGTTTTTCTTCCCTTACCTACAGCTTAGGGGGATATAGCCCCTGGCTCTGGGGGCGTCACAGATCCTTAGCTGTCATGCCTCATAACTTGCAGTCTGTTCGTGTCTTTAGAATTTGATACATCCCTCCCTCTACTATAGCCCATGTCACAGTCACTGTTCCCTCTAAGCTGAGTTAGTGTGAGCTAGCTCACAGTTTTTTAGCATCCAGCTCACACATTTTTGTCTTGGCTCAGGAAGGATTGCTCCAGAGCAAACTAATTCATGCAGTAGCCCAATCACTCGCTCATGACTTTCATGCCAGTAGCTCACAAAGTAGAATTTTTGCTCACAAGACTCCACAGCTTAGAGGGAACATTGGTCACAGTACCATTAAGTATAAAAAATGCTGATTTTGGATACCTGATGCAAGAGCACCAAGATAAGCAACTTCTTGCTGTTTCAGTAGTATGCATGGAAATGATTTTAAGTTACATCCAGGAGGCTATGACTTTCTGTTTCCTCGCACATAAAGCACCAAGTGTCTGCTTCTTTTCAACTAAAGCAAGGTATTTAGTGCCCACAGAGACTGCCTTTTATCTGCACTTCCAGAAACAGCTGCAAGTATGCAAAGATGTTGTCCAGGGTGGAACCAGGAATGTTTAATGAGAACTAAATGCCTACAAGCTTCAAGGTCAGGTTTGTTTGCTTCCCTACCTCAAGAGGAAATATGCAAATACTTCATCAGCTGAATAAATATCCAAAATGTTAAAGTCAATTTAGACACAATTCCCACTTCAGTTGTGCCCATACACACTCCCCTCCCCCAAAGAAATGAAGCTTCCCGTTTCCTGGGATGGGTTGGAACTTGCTAAGAGGCACAAAGTAGTCTATATTCTCCATATGCCAACAAACATTCTATGGAGGAACAGTGGACTGGGTATTGCAAGCGGGTTATTATAATGTGAGCAACGGACACAGCACCCCTCAGGATCACCCCACCCCTGCAAAACACAAAACCCCAAACCCACAATTTAAGCAGTATCCATACTCAGTCTTGAGGAACCAAATCATTTTGGTTTCTGGAGCCCTCTCTCTATGGGAATAATGCATTTAGCAAGCCCTCCCTTCTTAAGGCGTGGAATAGTGATTTGAACAGGGAAGACAAAGAATGGGAATAATTTGGCTTTCAATGTTAGCCTTTCTGGAGAAAAACTGTTTAAACATGCAATAAAATAAGGAATTATCACATTAATTTAATCAGACTTAAGTCTGTAAGCCCAGAAGTATTCTAGCTTCTTAAGGCTGCAGTGACACACACTAAATAATCCCCTTTCAATCCACTTTCAGTGCACTTTCCAACTGGATTTTACTGTGTGAACTGGCAAAATCCAGTTGGAAAGTGGATTGAAAGTGGATTATTTAGTGCAGGGGTGTCGAGTTCATTTGTTATGGAGGGCCGGATCTGACATAAATTGGACTTTGTCGGCCCGGTCCATGTGTGTCAAAAAATGTAATGCCAGGGAGTGGAGATATCAACTTGATAGAGGACACAAACACAAAGATTTTTTTTTTAACTTCAAATAAAAACATGCTCGAAACATTAGCATTCTTGCCGCCCTGAATTATTGCATCAAAATGTCTGTGCTGTAGCAATCGGGGAGGGGGAGGAGCCTCAGCCCAGTGCAGGGAGCAGAAGCTTGCTCATCTATCTCTCCTGAATGATTGAGAGAGCCTGGGAAAGCAAGCTATGACACAGCAGCAGCAGAACTGGAGGAAGAAGCAGGAGACAGCCAGTCCCTTGCGGGCCTGATAGAAGCCCTCTGGGGGCCTCATCTGGCCCACGGGGCTGCATGCTTGACACCCCTGATTTAGTGTGTGTAACCGCAGCCTTTATTTCCATGACTTGAACACAGAAAGACCCAGTTGAGGAAGCACACAAGGAAGCAATGCCTCCTAAAAGCATGAAAGAGCCTCATGACAGAAAAACTGACATTTCAAATTAAGTCTGCCCAGTTAATCTTTAGGAACTTATTACAAACATCCCGTAAGAACTTATTTAATTTTCAATAATTTAAGTCAAAATATATGATGTGTAGCCAATCTTTCTGCATGCAAAAATGACATCAGAGACACTTAACTGAACAATTCTGAAGGGGGAAAAGTGCATCAGTCCACACTCACGTTTGTGGTACTGGGCAGTCTAAGCAGCTGGTCTGACAAGCTGTTCAAGGCAGAAGTTTCAGCAAGAAGCTAGCTAAAACATTGAATTAAAACAACTGTCACATAATTCCACGGCCTCATACCAGGTTTCTGCTCCTTCACTTGGGGCATGTTCCCACTTTGTTCAGTTGCACAGTCGAGTCCGACTCTTCACGACCCCATGGACCAGATCCCGCCAGGCCTTCCTGTCTTCCGCCGTCCTCTGAAGTTGGCTCAATTTCATGTTTGTTGCATCGATGACACTGTCTAACCATCTCATCCTTTGCCGTCCCCTTCTTCTTTGACCTTCAATCTTTCCCAGCATCAGGGTCTTCTCCAGTGAGTGCTCCCTTCTCATTTGGTGGCCAAAGTATTTGAGCTTCAGTTTCATTATCTGGCCTTCCAGGGAACAGTCAGGGTTGATTTCTTTTAGGATTGACTGATCTGATCTCCTTGCAGTCCAAGGGACTCTCAAGAGTCTTCTCCAGCACCATAGTTCAAAAGAATCTATTCTTCGGCGCTCGGCCTTCCTTATAGTCCAACTCTCGCAGCCATACATGACTACTGGGAATACCATTGCTTTGACCATGCGGACTTTTGTTGGCAGGGTGATGTCTCTACTTTTTATCATGCTGTTTAGGTTCGCCATCGCTTTCCTCCCAAGGAGCAGGCGTCTTTTAATTTCGTGGCTGCTGTCACAGTCTGCGGTGATCTGGGATCCCAGGAACATGAAGTCTGTCACTACTTCGACGACGTCCCCTTCTATTTGCCAAGGAGTGATGGGGCCAGATGCCATGATCTTAGTTTTTTTGATGTTGAGCTTCAAGCCCACTTTTGCCCTCTCCTCTGTAATCCTGAGCAAGAGGCTCTTTAGGTCCTCTTCACTTTCTGCCATTAGAGTGGTATCGTCTGCATATCTGAGGTTGTTGATCTTTTCCCCAGTAATCTTAATTCCCGCTTGTGATTCATTCAGGCCAGCATTTCGCATGATGTACTCTGCATATATATTAAATAAGCAAGGTGACAATATACATCCTTGCCGTACTCCTTTTCCTATGCGAAACCAATCAGTTGTGCCATATCCGGTTCTAACTGTCGCTTCTTGACCCTTATACAGGTTTCTCAAGAGACATGTGAGGTGGTCTGGTACTCCCATCTCTTTAAGGACCTGCCATAGTTTGTTGTGATCCACACAGTCAAAGGCTTTAGCATAGTCAATGAAGCAGAAGTAGATGTTTTTCTGGTACTCTCTTGCTTTCTCCATAATCCAGCGAATGTTGGCAATTTGATCTCTAGTTCCTCTACCTCTTCGAAACCCAGCTTGTACTTCTGACAGTTCTCTATCCACGTACTGTTGAAGCCTAGCTTGTAGGATCTTGAGCATGTTCCCAATGGTTCGTCCTTTTTCCCAGTCCCTGTTTTCCCTTGCAGACTGTGACACCTCATGGATTACCCACACCACTGTGCCTTCTGCCAGCCCCATGTAACCCACCTCCCAGGTAGGTACTACATCACTGCCATGGTCCCTGTGTGGGGCTACCCCTTGTTCCCACCTATCGCCTGGGATTCCCCAGCCCTCTAGAGCTCTTCTGACCCAGCTGCCTCCCTGAGCCACACTGGGCCTGCATGCTCTCCCTCTGCCCAGGCCTCTGGAGGCTTCTCCTGTGCCGCTTCCATCTGAGGCCTTTCCTGGGCCACACTGGGCCCTGCCACTCCGCAGCTCTGGGCCTTCTCTGGCTACTGCAGTTGTGCCTCTGGTCTCCTCTTTGCCATTCCATTGCCAGCCGTCAAGGATCCTGGTAGCTAGCATGGGCTTTGCCTCTCCTTTGCCAGTGGTACAACACTTCTGGCCTGGGTGCTGGGAGCACCCCACCACCACCATCTGGGATCCAGGGGGCCACCTGACTAATCACAACAATCATGTCCAATTTGTTTGTTTCGTACCCTACAACTGTTTAGGGACAACCATGAGCAAAAGCGGGTCATCAGGTGTGACATACAGCTTCTCCAAATACTATCCTCTAGAATTATAAATGTGTATCCAATCTGAGACGATGCATCTAACAATTATTCAGAGGAAAGTGACTATTCAGATTAAAGAGAGACCTACAACAGGGAAGAAGTGAAACAATATGGATAACTGCTAAGCAGAAGCAAATTCAGGTTATCAAACAACATCTCTTGTCTGGGCTTGCTTTTACCTTGCTGGCTATATGAATTTCTGAATAGCAAAAGACACACAGGGTACAATAATCCAAAATGGCAGCTTGAGAGAGTACACCTTTTAAAACGCAAAACGTTCATGAAACTTCTGTCTTGCATGTACCAGACTGTCTCATGGGTCACATCTTCAGAAGTTTTATTCTGCCAGCTGAGATCCATACTAATAACAAAGTACCAGAGCAGTTCTCTTTGAGAGCCAGCGTGCTGAAGTGGTTAGGTGTGTCCGACTATGATCTGGGACGTCCAAGCCCAGTTTGAATCCCCACTTTGCCATGGAAACCTGCTAGGTGATTTCGAGCCAGTCACAAACTCTCAGCCTTACCTACCTTACACCAGGTCATTGTGAGAATAAAACAGAGGAGAAGAGAACAATGTAAGCTGGTTTGGGTCCTCATTGGGGGGGAAAGTTGAGAAACAAACAAACAAACAAGCCTTGGAGGCTTCAGCAGACTTGTCCCAAGAGAAACTGAAACACCGGCCAGGAAGCCAAGTCAAATGGATACAAGCAGTGTTAAAGAAAAAACAGGGGAGTTCTAGAAAGCCTAGATTACAAATCAAGCCATACTGCATTTCTGCTGGGAGTGCCCCTCACCCGATAGCTCTTTCAGGCCCACAGCAGGGATCAGAATATTCATTATTCTCACAGGCTCCACAAAAAGTCAGAAGCCTCTGTATAAAGTAAATGAAAGTTCATAACATAAAGGACTGAAAGTCCCTAACTAGCCCCTAAGCCGATGTATTCAATCAACTTTTCCCGTCAGTCTACGCAAACCTATTAAAACCTTACCACTTGAGCCTGCTAACTCCACCTTCTCTTTCTCTCTCAGTTCCCAGCCCAATTGCCTCACAGAACTCTGATCTTATTGGCCCATGCATCTATGAATAACACCACTTCTGTCATATGGGGAAAAGCAGGGATTAATCCTGTTATTTCAGGTAAAAGCAATCATTCTCTAACCTTCTGGCTCACTGGAACTGGGAGAGCTTCAGCCTCACTCTCCGACGAGGACTCACTGCTCTCTGCGCTCCCAACAACCTTGGCAGAAGGCAGAAGTGCAGGTTTCACCAAACTCGGCACTGCGGGCTTTGGAGTTTGCTTCGAAGGAGCTGGAGTGGAAGCTGCCTTGCTTGACAACAGGCTTGGCAGCACATTTTTCACTGATGCTGTGGAGGCCCGAGGTGTTTTTTCAGATGATTTTGCCTAGCGTTAAGAAATTAACAGAGTGGAATAAGTTAAAACCTCAATAAAACTCAACTACAGAGTTTTGGGAAGCCCTGACTCGGAAGTCTAGGAAGTTCATTCAGGGGACAAAGGAGTGGTACTTTGTTGTAGCCATCTCTGGTAGTTGCTAGGGTTCTTAACAGGCATTTTCAGTGCTTATGGAATTTGAACTGGCAACTAAAAACAGCACAGCATTTTGGACTTTACGTGTCCATTCGATGTTGATGTCCAAGGAAAAAGTCCATCTTGAGCAACCAGGCATTTCCCATCAAGCACAGCAATCAACTGATTGCACCCGCTCACTCTGGTTCAGCTAAGGGTGCTTCATGCTGTCAGCACATGGCACTGATCAAGGAGCCTCTTTATGCCAATGGCATACAGCTTGTGCTGACAAAACACACTGCCCTTTGCTGAGACGTATGACAGGAATACAGGATACAACCCGTGATATCTAAACCATGTGCCATTTCCTCCCCATTTTGCGCCTAGTGGCTTCAGAGACCTTACAGAGAAGAACCCAGGGCAACAGTTTCCAAAGCATCTCACCTGTGCTACTGAGGAGGATTCCTTATCCTCACTGTCTGAGGAGTCAGTAGTATCTGAGGTGTGTGCTGGCTTTTTGCCTTCAGTTGCATTTCCAAATCCTGCTTTGATCTGGCTCACTTTTGTCTTTGCTGGAGATGCCTTTACTGTGGATCTTTTAGAAGGAGTGGCGGGAGAGCTCTTCACTGGAGTTGCACTGATCGGTGGACTTCGCACAGCTGGTTTTGCCTAGAGTGAAGAATGTTCAGAATTAGCACATGGCGGTTTCTTATAAGGATAGGAAGAGCCTAAATTTCCTTCTTGGGATTTAATCTTCAAAAAATGTGGTGAGGAATTGAAAGTAAACAACAGTTACCCTGTCCCTGTTCTTTTTTGGAAACCATGAAAGAGATACAGGAAAAATTACCAAGGCTCTCAGTGAAGGGAGCCAAATGAGTCTGCTCCTAGACATAAGGGGGCAGAAAGAAAGACAGGGAGAGAGTTTAAAAATCTGGATGTGAAAGATGGCTAGTTGGGTGGCTATCCTATACCTTTGCTTGCTTCTGAACAATTTCAGCTTCCTCATTATTATAGTTTTACAACTTTGGCATCAAAGAGTTGCATCAAGTAAATAAACAGCAGACAATACATTCCACCTCTATCCTGCCCCTGCCCCAAAGTGGAATTTTCAGTGGAATCAAATGTTAAGCCCATGATGACACAGAACTCATAGGACTGCATCACCTTTACAATGCTGATGGGAGAGTACTTGTTTGATCAGAATTATGAACATCCTTACAGGATTCTTTAGATCGGGGTGTCAAACATATGGCCCAGCCTGCAGGGCTGCTATCCGGCCCACAAGTAACTGGCTCTCTGATGCTTCCTGCTTCTGCATCATAGCTTGTTTTGCCCAGTATCTCCTATTTCTTGGCTTTGGAGAGGAGAGAAAGAAATCCATGCCTCCCTCTCCTCAACTGGCTGAAGGCTCCCTCACCTCCTCTGGGGAGAGAAAGAGCGAGAGAGCGAGAGAGCGAGAGCGAGAGAGAGAGAGAGAGAGAGAGAGAGAGAGATTGAGTCCCCTGGCATTTTTCAAACCAACAACGTTTTAATCCAGGTATAAGCTTTTATATGCATGTTTATGCGGGCGCGCGTTGTGGGGGGGGGGGGGGGGGGGAGGAGCCGTGTTTAAGACCAACAACATTTTATTCCAGGTATTAGATTTGTGTCTGCATACTTCTTGGGGAGGGGGGGGAAGAAAGATGAGTCCCATGGCACTTGGAGAGATTCCCCCTTTATATTTCTAACAGATTGGGGGGAGGAGAAACCTAACAGCACAGCTTGCATTCGTTATTAGTCGAAGGGAGCAAGAGTCCACAAGCACCTTAACGACTAACAACATTTGTAGCAGGGCATGAGCTTTCATGAGTCACTGCTCACTTCTTCAGATACAACTAGAATGTGAGTCCATCTGTCCTTATATCTTGGAGAGTGAAGTGATTTCACATGCCATATGACAATAGCAGACATTAGTATTGAGAGAAGAAACCAAGGTCTCAGTTCAGTCCAGGAGGATGCATTGTCTTGAGCTTAATTATCAGTTGCAATTCAGTAGTCTCTCTTTCTAATCTCTTTGAAATTCCCCTTGTAAGAGAACTGCTGGTCAGGTCAGCAACTGAATGTCCTGGAACGTTAAAATATACCGCCCCCCTGGGGTTTTGAATGTTGTGGTTTCTAACAGCAGCAGAAAGAGTAAGAGTCCAGTAGCACCTTAAAGACTAACAACATTTGTGGTAAGGTATATGCTTTTATGAGACACTGCTCACTTCTTCAGACTTTTTTCCATGTATTCTTTGCAGCCTCCTAGACTTGTCCTGTACCAAATTGAGACCTAGGTTTCCTGACTCATTATCAATGCTGATATCTCCACACCTACTACCCTTCTGCTTATCACACCTAATCCAATCATGCCTGCTATTGCCATTCGGCATCTGAAATTATCTTTATAAAGTTTATATCTCCAATACCTCGTGTTGCATTTTATAGCACACATGACCTGGCCCAACATTTATATCAGATCTGGCCCTCATAACAAATGAGTTTGACACCTTTGCTTTAGATGGAGCTTCCTGAATGGTTGCTGCTTTTGTCACTTCTTCTTCAGAGTCAGACTCCTCACTGGAGTCTTCAGTGTTGCTCTCAGGTTTTTTTAAAGCTAAAATCAGAAGAGAGAAGGCATTCATTCTGAATTCTTAAAACAAAATAGTATTTAATACACTTCAATGTTTAACACCAAGACCAAAAGGAAGTAAAAAAGCCTCAGGGTAGATTCCTTAAGAGTTCTCTCAACTCCATCTATCAATTTTTAAAGTACTTTCACACATCATTTTTTAGTGGTCCCTGCAATGAAACGAGGGTTCGCTTCAGTTATCTAACCTAACCGATCCATACACCCCACATGCCTGCCAAGCAGCTCTGGAAATGAGAGGACCGCTCAAGCCTTAGTGCTGTGCTTTTATCACCAGCTTTGTTGCTTGCAAACCAGTTTAGGAAAACAGTAAGTATGTTCAGAACATGCTAGTAACATGCCTGATATTATACCAGCCGCACATGCATAATATCCTTCAACTGATATGTCTCTTCAATAAAAGCCACCTACATTTTAAGGCATAGAGTATGGCAGAACATGAACTGTTCACAGCAGGTCACAATTTACTGTTTGCCTTCCCAGAGTTGACAGCAACGATTTTAAGAAACTGCATTCAAACCCTAATATCCAAAATACCTAAGAACGGTTTTATTGAAAGCATTGTCTTTATGTTGGGGGGGGAAAGAAGAAAAGAGGCAAACACCAAAAAATGGAAATTCAAAGCCCAGAAGACACCAATTTCAAACCACTCAGTAGAGTTGTTATGATTCTAATCCAATAAGCTGCTTGTTGTGCTGCGGCTGTGCTAGAACACACTCTCAACTACAAAACTTGCCCTTAAAGGATGTGAAGGCAGTTCATCAGTGTGCAATGGATGTGCTACACTTAACAGCATTACAAGCCTATTTCTGCCTTCAGCCTCCACTGAGAACAAGTTTGTTTGATAAATGTCCGAGAGCTGAACTGATATGGCTTACAGTATTATCTGAAATGCGGTACACGTCAATCTCACTGTGAGCCAAAAGAGATGCAGTTCATAAAGGCACCACAGAGACGACACACATCACAAGCCCTCTTACCTGGCTTGGGAGCTGGGGTTTTTACTGCTGTTGTTGTCTTTTCTTCCTCACTCTCAGACGAGCTGCTACTGCTTTCAGAATCTGCTGCCTTCTGTGCAATACTTACTGGTGCTGTACTCTGTCCTTTGAGAGCCAGAGGTGCCTTTACTGTGGACCCTTTAGAAGGTGTGACAGTGGCCGGAGAGCTCTTCACTGGAGTTGCACTGATCGGTGGACTTTGTGCAGGTGGCTTTACCTACAGTGAAGAATGTCAGAATTAGCACATGGCAGTTTCTTTTGAGAACAGGAAGAAGAAGAAGAGATTGGATTTATACCCCGCCCTTCACTACCCAAAGGAGGCTCAGAGCAGCTTACAAACTCCTTTCCCTTCCCCTCCCCACAACAGACACCCTGTGAGGAAGGACCTGAATTTCATTTAGGGGCAGTTTAGAGGGAATTAGATAAACATATGGAGCAGAGGACCATCAGTGGCTATTAGCCACAAGGTATAGATAGGGGCTTTGGGGCAAGTGATGCTCTGTATTCTTGGTGCTTGGGGGGGGGGGGAACGACAGTGGAAGGGCTTCTAGTGTCCTGGCCCCACTGGTGGACCTCCTGATGGCACTGGTATTTCTGGCCACTGTGTGATTCAGAGTGTTGGACTGGATGGGCCTTTGGCCTGATCCAACATTGGCTTCTCTTATGTTCTTATGTTTCTGGAATTTAACCTTCAAAAACATGGTGAGGAATCTAATGTAAGCAACAGATATCCAGGAAAAAAATTACCAAAGGTCCCAGTGAAGGGAGCCAAATGAGACTGCTGCTAGATGTAAGGGGGAAGAGTGAAAAACAGGAAGAGAATTATTATTTAATTTCTACCCCGCTCCATTTCCCGCAAGCAGGACTCAGGGTGGCGTACAACATGTATATACATCAATACATAAAATACACAGAATTAATATACATCAGTACAGAATAATATACACACAATACAATTAAGCTCCAGTTGTTGTTGCTCAGTGGCACAGTCGAGTCCGACTCTTTGCGACCCCATGGACCACATCACGCCAGGCCCTCCTGTCTTCCGTCATGCGCTGGAATTTGCTTAATCTCATGTTCGTTGCATCGAAAGCTCCAGTACTATTCATCAATTTGATCTACTGTTAGATGGCATCACAGATAGCTGGGGTGGTTGGCATATAATCCATATTCCACCCATGGGGAGGATCTTAACCAGGAGAGAATAGAGATGGGGGGAAGAAACCTGGGAGGCCACTGATCTCTCTGACCATCGCTCTCCTCAACCATATGCCCGGCAGAACATCTCAACCTTACAGGCTTGGCAGAGGAGGAAGAATGCTATCCTGGCTGTATTTGTGATCGGTGCCTCTAGAGTAAGAGAGGCATCAAGGGTCACACCCAAATGCCTGACAGAGGAAGCTGGCACCAGCTGTACCTCATCCAGAGTGGGAAGCTGAAATCCTGGTCCTTCCCCACCCCCAACTCAGCCACAGGACCTCCCTCTTCAATAGGTTCAGCTTCAGGTGTCTCTGTTTTAACCATCCCACCATAGCTCCCAAGCAACTGGCCAGGTCTTCTGGGGCAGTGGCTGTCCATTAACAGATACAGTTGGGTGTCATCAGCATACTGATGGCACCCTAGCCTGAACCTCCTCCTGACTAGCTGGGTGAGAGGGCGTGTGTAGATGTTAAAAAGCACTGGGGAGAGGATTGTCCCCTGTGGGACACTGCACACCAACAGACTACACCATCTTTACAGTGCAAGAGGAAGATTACTTGTTGATCAGAAGTATGAACATCCTTACAGGATTCTATAAAGGGAACTACCTGAACAGTTGCTGCTTTTGTCGCTTCTTCTTCAGAGTCAGACTCCTCACTGGAGTCCTCATTGCTGCTGCTGCTGCTCTCAGTCTTTTTTAGAACTAAAATTGGAAAGAGAAGGCATTCATTCTGAATTCTTAAAAACAAAAGAGCATTTAATAGATTTCAACGTTTAAGACCAAGACCAAAAAGAAGTAAAAAAGCCTCAGGGTAGATCCCTTAAGAGTCTTCTCAACTCCGTCTATCAATTTTTAAAGTACTTTCACACATCAGCTTTTAAGTGGTCCCTGAGAGTTCACATCAGTTGTCTAATTGATCCTAACACCCCACGTGCCTGCCAAGCAGCTTTGGAATTGAGAGGACTGCTCAAGCCACAGTGTTGTGCTTTCATCACCAGCTATGTTGCTTGTAAACTGATTTTGGAATCAGTAAGCATTTTGAGAACACACCAGTAACACGTGTTAGATTACACCAGCCTCACATGCACAGTATCCTTCATCTGGCATTTCTCTTCAAGTTCATCAGTTTGTAACAGATGTGCTACCCTTGACAGCATTACAAGTTTATTTCTGCCTTCAGCCTCTACAGAGAACAGTTTCCTTTTATACATACCCAAGAGCTGAAATTATTGGGTTTAGCATTATCTGAACTGCTGTACACTCCAATCTCACTGTAAGCCAAGAGATGCAGTTCATAAAGGCACTGCAGAAATGACACACATCACAAGCCTTCTTACCCGGTTTGAGAGTTAGAGGTTTTACGGCGGTTGACATCTTTTCTTCCTCACTCTCAGATGAGCTGCTACCGCTTTCAGTGTCTGCTGCCTTCTGTGCCGCACTTCCTGCTGCTCTACTCTGTCCTTTGAGAATCTGAGATTGTGAGGCAGCTTCTGGTTTGCCAGAAAGAACTTTATTCTGTCTTGCTTTGGCCGCAACTGAAGGAGATGGCTTGTCTGAAATAGCTTTGTTTGGCCTCTTTTTTGCTTGGACAGCAGCTACAGCTACCCCTTTACCTGGGACAGAGTTGGCTTTTTGAGCAGCAAGCTGCAGAAAATTAGCTGTCCGGTTTCCCGTCACAGTAGTCTTTATCTAAAAAAGAAAAGTGGAAAAGATCCATTACGATTGCCAAGTTATGATAATGTCTCTCATACAAAGCCCGTGCAAGTTCTGCTCTAAGACTCATGGCTCACATGGGCTCGCACTAGCTGTAAGGTCCACATTTCCATTAAAGAGACTGGAGAACTCTGGTCTGGAGTGAAAGATACCAGTTCACAATGTACAAAGGCATTTTGTTCTCCAATGACCTCTGCATTTCAGACTGGTCTGTTACCTTTATAGTTTCTGTTGACTTCCTCTGGAAGTGGACCAAAGTATGAAGAACCCATTTATTATGGTCACTTTACCGTCCTAGCATAACACGAACGGGCAAAACAGTTTCCATTACAGTAGGGATCCCTGAGACATATCTGAAGCTCTGGAAAAAAAGTGTTGCTGAATTTCATTCCCTCAAATCTCAGCCTGAAGTTACCAATTACTGTAACTTTCCACAAAAATCCACTGGTCTACTTTCCAGCTCTGAGTTTACACTGTTAACACTGCAGCTTGCAGCACCACAATCTGGCAGGGAAGACATTAGCAGGGAAAGGAGGTGGGCAGAGACTCTTGCATGTGGCAAATCTTATCAAGCAGGGATTCTAAAACAAAAGCCCCCCCCCCCTATGCATACCACAGTGTAATATATCAATTTGTGTCTGGCTGCAGACTACTTCAAAAATATTTGTACAGGTGTTTTATTTTCCTAACCTATTCAAAGCCCAAAAATCTGGGTTGCGTGTAATATAGGATATTCGGAAAGAATTGCAGGTTCTTTTTTACTGGAAAATGTCATGCTTGTTAAGAAACCCAGGGAAGTACAAAATTAAAATGTATGATTTCCCACTTTAATGCAACTCCAGGCAATTTGAGCTTTCATGCAAATACCTTATAGTTGTTTTGAATTCCATGACTCTCAGAATTTTGCATAAACACTTAAATTTTGATTTCATGACCAGATTTTCAAATGTCTGAATTTATATAACACAGACTACATAAGAAGGTATTTCTTATACAGAAGGGATCAAGTTATAATAATTACTCTGATAACTTCATACACAGTCCCATCTTCCATGAAAGGTAGAAAGGCATTTCAAATCTTTCCTTATCCCATAGTAAAGACAGCAACATTTCCAAACACATCTGAACAGGTATTTTAAACAAAACTAGAACATAAACCAAAAAGTCAGTTTCATGCTCACAATTCACTTCCCTGCACAAGAAACAAAGACAAATGGCTGCTTACCATCTTTCCAGAAACGTCTTCCTCTTCAGAGGATGAATCTTCATCTTCACTACTACTCCCTGCCTTAGCTGTAGAGCTATTATTCACAGGAAGGTTAGCTGCAAAACAGTAAAAGGGAGGTACAATAAACAGGTTTCTAGAACATCAGCGTCTCCAGTCAGAGGGGACACTAAAATTGCATTAAAACATTCTTCTCAAGGTCACTATCTGACAGAATCGTAGCAAGCATTTTATAAAACTCCCCAGTACCTTAGGCAGCAACTCCCTTTTCCTCCCCAACTATCTGCTCCAAGAGTAATGGCGATATGTTTCCTTGGTTGTATTACTCCTTTTATCATCATCTAAGGGACCCGACATAAAAATAACAGTATAGTAAGATGCTTAAAGGTAAAACCCCGACAAGGGGAAGCTCCTTGTGTTAAACTGGCGCCTCCAATGTTTGCACTGATTGCAACCACACTAGCACTTCCCTATGGGTAACGTCTGGAGCTGCGGTGGCTCAAGTGGTTAAGACGCTGAACTGCAGGCTGTGGAAGGTTAGTAGTTCAGCAGTTCGAGACCCGGGTGCCGCATGATGGAGTGAGCTCCCATCTCTAGTTCCAGCTCCTGCCAACCTAGCAGTTCGAAAGCAAGAAATTGCAAGTAGATAAATAGGTACCACTTCGGTGGGAAGGTAACAGCGTTCCGTGTGCCTTGGTGTTTAGTCATGCCGGCCACATGACCACGGAAATGTCTTCGGACAGCGCTGGCTCTTTGGCTCTGAAACGGAGATGAGCACCGCAACCCTAGAGTCGGATTCGACTGGCTTTCGAGCAAGGGAACCTTTACCTTTACGGATAACGTACAAATCTGGCTTTAAAAAGTGCCTCTTGTCAGGGGTTAAATCACATGTTCAGATAACTTCTAGCAAGACAGAGTTAGAAAACATCTGTAGCAGAAGAAAAATGGGGCATCTTGGGCAAGTACTGCAGAAGGAGGGCACTGTTACTGTGTCCTGCATAATTCCCTGCCCTTCCTCATAACATCATGTCCCCCATCTCTACCTAACCCCTCCCACCGTCTTTGATGTCTACCACCCTGGTACTTGTGAAAACCCGCAGCCAGCAGTTACACAGTACAGAAGCATCAAATTTAGTTTCTGTGGCAACAGCAACACTCCTGCTCTTCCTGGACATTTCACCAATGGAGGCACCAGCTGCTCTTTGGCATTTCCTTCTTACTCTGGAACGCTTCACTCCACTTTTTAGGCAGCACTGGTTCTTACTTTTTACGGGGTTTGCCACTTCCTCCTCTTCTGAGGTCTCAGAGCTGCTCTTGGGGTCAGGAATTCTGATCTTTGTTTGAGTATCTGCCTTGATATCATCTCCTTTTTGTTTCTGGGCTTGAAAGGAAGTTCTGTTATAGAAATATTAAAAGTTGAAAAAGACTTTGAAAGGGACAGCTGTTCAACAAATGCACCTTTCCTTGCTATGGACAAATAAGAACCTGCCCGACAGGCCTGGTTTGTCTTACAAAAAATTTGGTACTTGGGCTCTCATTGAGAAGAAGTTGCACTCAAAACAGACTTCAAAATTAACTTAATTGAAAGTGAAGAGTAAGGCAATACACTGGTTATGTGAAACTAAGAATGCAGAACTTAACTACACAGTAGTTTTCAATCTACACCGTTGTTTTAAACCTGGAAACAAACAACATTTAAGGTTGACCTTAGATTGAGCATATAGGGACAGTAGAGATTATGCTCAACCTAAGGTCCACAAATGGTGCTCTATAGGTTCTCCGGGGGGGAAGAAAGTTTCTTGATTGTCTTCTATGCAAAATGTTTCAGAGCTAGACACTACCAAAGGAGAAGATTCTGCAACCACTTCTGGAGAAGAAAATTATTCACACATCCTATTTAGACAGAGATACAAAAAGGAGAACAGGGGGGGGGGGAATTTACCCACTGCCCTCCTTGCAGAGAGTGGAGGAGTACTTACTAGTGAATTCATCATCTAGAGAATTGTCATCTGATGAACACAAGCTCTTGAATTTGGGTCTGGCCTTTATACCCACCTCCAGATATGATTTGTTCCAAACACGCATTGATTTATTTTGTTTGATTAGATAGTTAAAGTTACAAAGTTATTTTGACAATTCTAAAATGCAAATGGGAAATAAATTGCATCCTAAACCAACATTTACACCTGTTATCAATGACTCTTCTGTACATGTATTTGAACAATTAGTTGTAAGGGATTTAACAAAACTTGAGAATTCCTTTAAACACAGATGGAACAATTTTTCAATGCAGGAATGTAACATCATGGGAGATTTGGCGGGGGATGAACCTATTGGTATTAAAGAGGCAGATAAGGATGGGGTTATAGGCCTAACGAACACAAAGTATTATTATACTGAGGTTCAGTGTCAGCTACAAGACCATACTAGTTATGTTGCCATCACAAAGGATTCCACAGAGCATATTTTACATTTAATACACATAGTAGTTAAGAAAGCTTCTATTGTGGGTTACATTGATCAAAAATTTAGAAGGAAGTTCATTAATCAGCATCCTAGGATCCCTGTTTTTTATGTCTTACCTAACCTAACCAGCAGACCCAGTTTTGGGTTTCAATTACATTTTGGAACCATTATCACTATAATAGATTCTTTTTTGAAGCCCTTTGTAACTAAATCTTTGGCATATATAAAGGATAACAAGGATTTCATATGTAAACTGGGGAGGATGCATGTCCCTAATAACTCTGTTTTAGTTTCCATGGATGTGACTGCATTTTGTACCAGCATTCCCCAGGATGAAGCAAGGAACAGATTAGAAAAATAGTTAGATTCTCACTCAATGCTGAGACCTACTACCTATTTTCTTATGGAATTAGTGGACATCATTCTAGAGAATAATTATTTTAGGTTTGACAAGCAGTTTTATTACCAAATTTAGGGGGTACCAATGGGTAGTCCTTTTGCTCCCAGTGTAGCTAATTTGTTTATGATCTCTTTGGAAGAGACAATAATTAATCACCCGAAGGGAAATCTCTTCTTTAAAGAAATAATGTTTTACAAATGTTATGCTGATGACATCTTTATCATTTTAGCAGATGCAGAAAAACTAGAAACATTTTTTTCTGAATTAATACAATCCATGAGAGTATTACGTTTTCCTGTCACCATAGTATGACAGTTCTTCCATTTCTGGACACAGAAGTCTTTAGGAATAATATGAATGAAATGTCTGTAAAAACATTTGTAAGACCTACCGATAAGAATTCTCTATTACATTTCAAATCATTTCATCCACCCCATTTACATTATAACCTTCCATATGGTCCATTTTGCAGATTAAAATGTAATTCAACAACGATACAAGATTATGTTAAGGAAAGCGATAGATTAGAAAAATGACTGTTGAACTGTGGATATCCCTATAGAGTGACATTACAGGCAAAAAACCAAGCCCAGTTGGTCCCTAGAAGTAACCTATTCAATGATAAAAAAGAGCAAGTCCAGAAAGGCATAACACGTGCTTTTCAATATACACCTTTAGCCAAATCAAACAAATTCTAACTGGGCACTGATTTGTGGTTTCAGATTTGCCAGGATGTAGCAATAGACCTTTCATTGGATGTATAAAAACTAGAAGCCTTAGAGACATAGTAATTCAATCAGATTTTCAGTGTTACCAGCATTACAGGGATAGTCCCACTGGACACTATAAATGTGGAAAATGTTCCATTTGTCCCTTTTCCTTGGAGATTAAAAGGTTTGAACATCTGTCTATAAAGCTAACCTATTACATTTTACTAACTGTGACATTAAAAGGGCAATATATGTGATTTTATGCCCTTCTAAGGTTCTATATGTTGGGATGAGTGTATGTGCTGTAAAGACACAAATTATAGCACATAGATCACGAATTCGGAATAAAAATATGTAATCACCTTTGGTTGCACATTTTGTAGAAAAGGGACACTGTGCTGATGACCTAAGGTTTTTTATATTAAGAAGATGTGTACCACATACATATAATTATATCAATGTCCAAAAGTTGTTACTCCATCAAGAGGCAGCTTGGATTTATAGGCTAAAAACACATATGTCCCATGGACTGAACACAAATTTAGATTTATCTAGTTATACACAGGAGGATCTTTTGTGGGGCCATTTGCATTGTCACAATACTGCATGTTGATAGGGTGCAACTGAGATTTTTTTCAACAAGCATGTATGACTATGTACAATATTTTTCATTTTTCATTATTTGGATACTCTATATTCTGGATGTTAATACTGGAATGTTTGCATTGTGACCTGTAGCTTAAGTATTTGTTAGGCTCACATGCAGCTGCATGGAATTACCAGGGTGAGTTTGTTTTTAAGTTCAACATCATTATCAGTTTGTTTTGAGAGCATTTGCCAGCATTGTTAGAAGAGTAGGCTTTGCATCAAATCAACAAAATGTTAAATGATTGGCTTGCTCCTTTTGAGAACACAAAATTAAAATTCCTGACACTTTTGTATATTCCAGTTCCATTCAGCTTTGTGTTATCCCTTATCTTACTATGGTCATGGTTAGTTTTAGGATATTACTCCAGAGAAGGCCCAACTAAGAACCATTCCTAAGGAAGATTTATCACGAAATGGCCTTATATCTGGATGCTTGTCAGGCTGGGACTCCTTGCAGAAGCTGTTTTGCTATATTACAAGACTGGAACTTTTCTTAGTTTTGCTACAGGTTCACAGCTACTATGGTGATATCTTTGTTATTGAACAAGCTGTTGTAAAACTCTGTGTGTACTTAGTAGCCATCATTCACAGTGCTGTTTGTTTCAAACCTGGGACATCTCCAGATTTGCAGTTTTAATCCTCTGTCAAATATAAAAAAAACTGAGCCTTGATATATCCAAGTAGAAGAAAAGACACATGGGCTTGGCAAGAGTTATCCCACATATATGCGGGAGAAGAGAGGAAGATCAGAGCCACATTTCCCTCGCATACAAGAGTCATACTTCCCTCCTCATAGAAGGGCATTACTATATTGATAGTTCTAAGGGCTAACTGGACAGGAATGGAGAACAAAACTTAACTCAATGGTCAGCCATGTAGAATTGGAAAGATTCTGTCCTTCACAAGGAGTTTCCTCTAGGAATGCCTTCTTTACACTTTGACAACCATGCAGATAAATCAAGACTGGTAAGTCTTGGCTGCACATCAACAGAATCACAGGAAACAGCAAACCTGCTTTAGAGGAAGCTCCCTAACATATGTCACCTGATTCAAAAATGTACTTGAAATCATGTGATTCAAGATCCATCCTGGTACCTTAAACAAGCTCCCGGAGAAGATCAGGGCCCTGTGGGATCTTGTACATTTCCGCAGGGCCTGCAAGACGGAGCTCTTCCACCAGGCTTTCAACTAGGAGCCCCCACCACTACCACTAATACTACCAATGCCCGCAATTAACATCTGCGGTGCAAGGGCAGCCTAATCGATATTATATGGTACCATCTGGAGCCCAGAGACTGAGAACCTTGAGTGCGGTATTATATGGTACGCCACTGTGATTTAAAATTGTGAGCATTTTAACTGTAAATTATTTAATTGTAAGTTATTTAATTGTTTTAACTGTTTTAACTGTTTTAAGATCTGGTGCATTGTACCAAATACTGTTAGCCGCCCTGAGCCTGCTCGGGGGGGGGGGGGGGGGGATACAAGTGTGATAAATAAAAAATAAAAATAAACTAGATGGGATAATCAACAAAAAAGAGAGACAAAGGGGGAGGAGTACTTAAAGTATGCAGCCCTCAGTCAAACAACTGATACAGTGTCTTATTTAAGCATGGTGCTCTACAGACAAACAAACTGTCTGCCAGTAGACAGCTTCACTCTCACTCAGACATAACAAAGAAAGCAACAAAGAGGTCATGAGATGGTCAAAAGTCACAGGCCTGAAAAGGAATGAGCATGTTAAAGTCACATATGGATTAATTTAGCTGCCTCATTTTCATTTGAATAAAGGAACGGAGTGTATTTGAGTAAAAGAATGGTGCATATATCATTTGCCTTCTGAAACCTCCAGGTACATTTGTTGTACCAGATATGCAAGTCTTTAGGAGTATAAAAGCAGGAACAAAACTAAATTAATTGCATGCCCCAAGCAAAGAGCCCAATACTGCAAATAAATACAAATAACTTTATTAATGGGAACAGCACACTAATGATGCATGAAATTAGAGATGAAGGGCAAATTAATTTTCCTGTGGAAAAAAATGTCCCATTTCTAAACATTAAACGCTTCATAAAATTAACAACAGTGAATGAATGTCATTGCCAATACAATATTAAACAAACTTGACAGTTTTAAAAGTGTAATTCCTGTTTTTAGGTGACTAACCCTAGGAATTATATAAGAAAATATGTTTTATTGATTTGTAAAAGTGGAGGGGGAGACTAAAACCACAAATTCATATAATCAAGTAAAAACCTTAAATGATTAATTCAACTGATTAGCTGTGGACATAAAACCAAAATTAACATTTTTATTTATATGCTTCCTCTCCTGTAGTAGAAGGGATATTGCCGTCACTCATCTGATAAGGAAAAAGTAACATAAATGATGATGGGAGGGGCTGTGGCTCAGTGGAAGAGCATCTCTCCCTGGCATCTCCAGTTAATGATCAGGTAGCAAGTGATATGAAAGCCCGAGACCCTGGAGAGCCTCAACCAGTCTGAAGAGACAATACTGACCTTCATGGACAAATGGTCTGATTCAGTATAAGGCAGCTTCATATGTTCATAGATATGCCCTAGTGACCTCCATGGAAGAAAGTCAAGTTCTGTCGAAACAGATGAGTGGACAACCATGTCCATGGCATATCACATACACCTCTTTGGGCACACGAAAATGAGTATGTCAAGAGTTATCAGTGCCTCTGGCTCTTAAATTTAAAAAATATAAGGAAAATACATGTCATATTAAATGTTTACAAGTACTATTAATATAAAAATTATTCGCACAGAAAGCTTTGAGTTTTGCTGAATGTTGATTTGGGGAGGATTGCAGAATATGTGCAGAAGACTTGATCTGGGGAGCGGTGGCACAGTGGGTATATCCCACTGTCTTAACATCTGAACTGTGTTAGTTCGAGCCCCGCGCTGGTGTGAGCAGCCAGCCTGTTGTCCCCAGCTCATCGTCCACCCAACGATTCGAAAGCTTCGGCGAGTAGATAAAATGGGAACCACTCCTTAAAGAGAGTGGGCACGCCAATCTCCCTTGTGGGAGGGTGTTAGCTGACGATCGGACATCCTGGTCAAGGCTTGGAAGGCGAAACAGCTTCTCGGCTATGAAAGAATCCCTGCAATGGATGTTCCGGCCAGGCAGTGGCAGTGTGGCAATTGACATACGGGTCCTGAAGCCTGGCCAACATGCAGCCATGCGGAAAACGATGGAGCCAAGCCAGAAGACGTCTACACCGGGCAGTGACGGCGCGTGCAATTAAAAATGAATATATGTTGTCTTCCCTATCCCCTATTTAATTAAATAGTCCCTTGTCTATATTGAGTAACTGTACATCGCTTTGAGCCCACTGGGGAAAGCGATTAATAAATGGAAAGTATTCATAAATGGAAAGTATATCATTTAAACCGCACCTGATTTGTGCCCCCCTCCCCCAATCAAGTCTTCTGCACATATTCTGCAGTCCTCCCCAAATCAACATTCAGCAGGTTATGGGAGCAATCCCAAGTAAGTTTACTCATGAGTAAGTCTTATCTTATTCAATGAGGCTTACTTCTAAGAAAGCATTCTAAGGACTGCCTCTTTCAGAAACCAGAACCAAAGACTGAGCTTTCCCATCTAGAACCAGAGGATAATTTTCTGTGGACTGCAGGAATTTGTCTGCAAGTCAAAGCCATTTTACTATTCTACTGTATCTCTCAGGCAAGAAGATACTCTGAGTTCAATCATCTTAGCTGAGGATTCACACTCCTTTCAGAGACCTCTGTAGTTTTCAAACTGATGCATGTACCTACCCTTACGATCTAGTGACCATACTGGGGTTTCAAAAAAAGATAAAGAAAAAAGGGTGTGAGGCGAAGGAAGCCCTCAAGGGTTAAATGTGAATAGTAACGCACGGTTCATCTTCCAGGTATTATTAATTGGTCTCCTGGCCTGTACAGTTCTTCTTCAAGGCCAGAGCTGGTAATGTGGTCATTAGCTTCTCATGAGAACCTGCGGTCTTGTGTGATAAGATAATCTTCTAGATGCTTCTCCTAGCAACATGTCCTGATTGGATGTCATCCTCACCTGATGTTGCTGGGTCCAAAAACTATAACCGAGTTTAGGGCCTGAATTAGAGAGACTAGCTGGGATTTTGACAGACTATAGGCCTGAACTATGACCTGCTTGAATTGCAATTGCTAGCAACGTAGAGAATGCCTGAGCCTTGGCCTGTGACTTTTTGAAAGTAAGGTCTGTGCCATCTAACACAAATCCTGCATTTTGTTACATAGTTGCACTAGTTTTCTTGTTTTCTGGCGGCATGATTTTAGAGTAGCGTGTTGCCTATAGAAGAAAGTTTTATGTTAATTAGAGATTGAAATAAACTTTATAATTTTTTAAAAAATTGAAATAAACTTTATAAATATATATTTTTTAATTAAACAACAGTATGGTTACTTATGTACAACTGCCCTGGGGATCCACGGGGTTCAGCCTTGGACTCCTTGACAAAGGGGAACTGGAAAATATGCCAAGACTCTGCATCTGGGCCTCTAGCTGAGAACAGTTTATCCAGGCTTGATTGCCCTATGGTAATATTTCCATAAGGAAAAGTCAAGTGATTAAAGTACACAAATAGTAACAATAAAAAATATGGCTTTCGGGCAGTGCTAGAGAGAAACCCTTTCAATATGAGTTTCCTTAAAAAAAAAACTTACTTACTTCTTCCACTGAGTGATGATATCCTCAAGAGTGACTGAGAGTGATGGGAAGTTTTTCTGTACAAGAAGAAGCAAAATTAGTGTTTGCTTTAATTTAAATCAGGAATACAAAAGAAGTCCACAACTCCAGGGTCAAGCCACCGTCACACTGAGATTACTTCAGAGTTTACAGTTTGGGAACTTTCCAGGAGAAAGTTAACAAGAAATCAAACTGAGTTCTTGGTGACATGAAGAGAGCATCTAAAGCTGCAAGCCTTATAATGTAATGTATGCCTTGCAGAAGTCACACTAAATTCACAAGAACTCATGCTGAAGTAAACTTGCGTAGGTACTGAACTCTGGTGGCTTGAAGTCCTAAACTCACTTAGGGATGGGGTTTAAACACATGACTCAAGGTATTTTGGAACACAGTTATTGTAACCTCTGGACTCAATACAACGGAAAGAGGTTGCTTCCACACAGATGGTCTGTTTCTCCTTAGCACCCTAAGGGACAGAATTTGCTGTTCATTGAGAAGAAGAGAAGAAGAGATTGGATTTATACCCTGCCCTTCACTACCCAAAGGTGTCTCAGAGTGGCTTACAAACTCCTTTCCCTTCCCTTCCCTACAACAGACACCCTGTGAGGTAAGTGGGGCTGAGAGACCTCTTGACAGAAACTGCTCTTTTTCAAGAACAACTCTTATCAGATTGGTACAGCACAATATCTTATAAAAATATCCTGCACTTATCTATCAGAGCCTATAAATTTCTAGTCTCCACTTTTTAAAAAAGTAAGCCTTGAACAGAGATGGCAAGAAGATACTAGAGATACCTTGGCAAGAAGGTGGCCTAATTTCTTTTTTATTTTTAAGTGAAAGTTGGAAATTCAGAAGAAATAGATCATGGCAATATGTTATCACTGTATAATTTATTGCACTACATCGATCTACTACCTTTACTTTAAAGTCTTCACACACATGTATGGAGCATCATTTGATAGCCTGCACTTGTGAAACAGCCTCAAAGTTCAGACAACACAGAGAGAGCTTTGATATTAATTCTAGATGTCCCCAAGTATATACTCCTTAACCACCAAGGTGGAAATAGGAGAATACCTCGGGGGAGATCATCTCCCTCTGACTTTTGAAATTACCCTTCAGCGGAGGGCCACTCCCATTTACACTACTTTGGAACCCCAAGAGCGAACCCTAGTCAAGAAACCTATTAAATGGTCTCAAGAGACTGAATCCCAAATATCTGAAATTCTTAATTGGGAAAACATCGAGACAAGTATGTCCCAATACTGCCTTTCAGGTGATATTGTAACAGGGTTGGAATGCTATGAAACATTGATGAGGAATTTATCATCTCTTTGTTCTGTGGAAAGGGGGGCTATGGGAAAAGGTGAGACTACACCCAGACCAAAGAGTAATAATTGGTACGATGAGGAGTGTAGGGAGTTGAGGGAATTGAAGAGATTAATTAGATCACAGTTTAGAATAACTAAGAATACAGGTCATCAGAAGGATATAGAAAAGATTAGATTCCTTAAACAAAAATATAAGAAGACTATCAAACGAAAGAAGGAGCTAACATCACAGAAAGATTGGTCATCCTTCCATCTAGCGATAGCAAATAACGACCACAAGTTTTTTTGGAAGCTAATTAAAAACTCTTCCTCCCCTTCATACCACCAGGCAGATATAACGCCATCTCAGTGGATATCTCATTATAGTGCCCTCCTTCAAAGCTGCAGTTTAATTTTAATTCAAGAGAAAGCTCCCCTTAGCAAATTGTGTGAGCATTCATTATTTCTATTCTGAAATGTTCAGCACATCTTTATCTGAAACAGTTGTTATACAAGACAGAATGAGAACTATTCTAAGAATTTTAACATAGAGGCAGGTTTTTAAAAAAGGTTTTGGAGTTTAATATTGTGAGTATATTTGACTTTTTTAAAATGCCATTTGAGGACATACTAGTTGTGACACACAAACTTTAATACTGTGACAGTTTCAGTATGTGTTCTGCTTAGGCATGTTGAACAGTTAGATTTGAGTCCAGAAGCCTGAAGACCGCTTTCGACTCAATCAATCGCGGTAGGCTATGGTGTAAATTGGCAGATTCTACAATAGATAGAAGACTATTAGCTCTAATTATGAATCTATACACCGACACTTCCGCCCAAATTAGATACAATTGGCAGGGTCAACTCACCGCTAGCTTCCAAACCAACAAGGGTGTGAAACAAGGCTGCTTGCTTGCTCCGTCCTTATTTAATCTATTTATCAACGATATGATTCCATTTGTGAAATCGCAGGCTAGACATCCCCCTTTTCTCGCAAACACACCAATTTCAATCCTTCTTTACGCAGACGATGCCATCCTTCTCTCTAAAACAGAACTAGGTCTAAAATCAGTAATTAATGCATTTATTACATATTGCAATAAAGAGGACCTTAAAGTTAATTACTCCAAGTCAAAGATCCTTAGGTTCTCTAGAACCTTTCATAATGGACCTAAGGTGATAAGCGCACTGGGCGGGACCTTGGAGAGAGTCCCCTCCTTCAACTACCTGGGTATCATTTTTAATTACAACTTATCATGGAAACCACATATTCAGGCGGCCCTCAAAGTGGCAAATATCACAACTAAGGCGATTAAAAAATTCTTTTATTCCAAGGGTGCTAAACATATACCAGCTGCCATTAAGATCTTCAATGCGAAGGTTGCCCCGCAGATCCTTTATGGGTGCGCGGTGTGGATTGAAGGTGTATCTGACATCCTTGACTCACCCCTACACACTTTTCTGAGGGAAATTGCGGCAGTCCCGAGATGTGTAGCGGGAACAGCACTTAGGGTTGAATTTGCCCAACCATCAATGGAAAAGAGAGCCTGGCTTGCAGCTTTCAAACTGTCTGTGAAGAAGGGTGCCCAGGGTGGTAGCACAAATAAAGTGGGTTTCTCACATTTAATCCCCTGCGACACCTACAAGAGCAGTCGCTCAAAACTAATTACACAGAAATTAACAACCTTGGGGATTGATATAACAGCTTCATTGTTAAATGAGCCGCTCAGAGAAATTAAATCCAAACTAAGGGATCTTGACTTCAGCAGTACCCTCCAAAGAGCTCGACGTACTTGCTCTGGTCTATCCTTGGGTCTTGCCCCCCCTGAGGCTATTCCATCATATTGCTACACTTTAAAGATTCCAAGACAACGCAGAGCATTCACCTTGGCGAGACTCAACTCCTTCCCCTCTAAGGTGCTCTCTGGTCGTTTCTTGGGACTTCCGTTTTCGGAACGTGTCTGCGATTGTGGACAAGAGATGATAGAAACTATGGATCATATAATGCTTTTCTGTCCTAAGTGGAATAAGGAAAGAGAGAGATACATCATTCCCGTTATGAGAAAAGAAAAGCTTCCTCTCCTTCCTTGGGTAGTTTCAGTGCTTTTGTCTGATAACTTCCCTGACAATCAAACCACGGCTATAGTGGCTTCCTTTCTAGCTGCGGTGATTAAGAAAACAGATCTCCCTGAGTTTAATTAGTTTATTGCTGATAACTGTCGACCTATATACAAATTTGATAATTTTAAGTGTGTGCTGGTTTTTGTTGTTGTTGTTGTTTTGGTGTGTTTTTTTTTATTCTGTACAGTTGCTATGGCTTTCTTGCTAATGCAATAATTATTATTATTATTATTATTATTAATTCTAAATTACAGTGTTATTTTTTTCTTACCTACATTCTTTGTGTGAAAAGCTCTGCAGGATCAGACAAAAGGCACATCTAGTACACTGTTCTGTATCCTGTGCTGGCCATTTAGATACCTGTGACAGACTGCCCTTAACAGCAGGCTTCTTTAGTGTAGCAATTTCAGAGAGCAAGAAGGTGAAGAATTAACTCTTCACTGGAATTTTTTAGTGACAGGTTGCTGCCTTCCCCCACCTTTCCTTTGATTGGCCAGCACCAGCTGAGAACTATATGATTAACTGAGTGCTGAGGGCATAGTCTTTTTGGGAGTCTTTCAGCCAGTTGGTCTTCCAGAAGTCAGACAGTCAGTTGGCTTCTGACAGTACTGGTTGCAGTCAGTAAGATTGACAAAGTCAGTCAGACAGGTTCACCTTTGGAGTGAAGGGAAATGACTCCTTGCCTTAACTGTTTTCTATCAATTCTGAGGAAGAATTCAGTACCAGGACCAAACATTTAAGAATCAGCCTAAGCTGAAGTCTGTTTTACACAGACACCAGAACTGGGATTGGGCAGCATGCTGAAACTCCCATTCAGGCCAAAAGCAAAGGGCCATATCTTCTGAGGAGAAGAATTCCTACCCAGTTACATAGGAGGGGGGGTTGCTCTGAGGAGACACGTAGTCTGTTGTGAAGGGAATCGGATTTAGACACCTCGGGATATTGAAATAAACTGTGGTTTCCAAAAGGGGAGAGTTTAGGTACACAAAGTTACCATCACCAGGAAACCTGAAGAATCATAGGAAATTATATGAAGAAACAAACATTGTAACTGTAACTAAAATACTCAAATCCTCTCACTGTTAAGATCCAAGAATACATGAAAATAAGCTTCAACCACACTATTTTGATTGTTAAAAGATAATCTATTAACAACAATTTTACCTCAGTATTTCCAATCGCCTGTTAAATAAAACTGTTGTTTCTGCTTGAATGTTATACCATCTCAAGTGTAATGTGAAAGGGAAAAACAAGAGGGCTCCTGCTTTTCCTATCAAGTTCCTGAGCTGGGCTAAAAGACAAATTAGATCTTTTGTGAACAGACAGACTATTAAAACATTGACTAAATCCACACTACTTGGGGTTGCGCAGTCACAGTTGGACTGTAGAGATAAACTAATTTTTGGCAGGAAAACCTGCCTGACAGTAGGGAAGTGCTAGGGGTCCATCCTAACACCTCTGGGAAGTTCATCAGATGGGCATAAAGGCAACTACTTTCCCCCAGTGCTCCTACCCAGCAACTCACAAGAAGGAGCATGCAGCCTCTGAGCATGGAGGTTCCATCCACAAACTTGTCTAGTTACATCCAAAGACACCTCTGCTAGAAG